GAATTTTAAATACTTTATGTCAGTTTGAAGTTTAAAGTAGACCTGTGTCGGTCGATCATTATTAATAACGTGGGTCGATCATGACTCATGCGTAGAGTGATCGGGTCAAATGATATCGATCATATGTTCTTTTAACGAGTCACCTCATGATACTTCTACATGACGTTTAAATGTGTCAAATTGTACAATTAGCTTTTATTCTTTCCTGCTGATGGGTAATGTGTCTATAGTCAAATGAATCATTAATAAACCACACTTAGGACACTAAAATTTTGTTCTAGGAAAACTAAACGGAGTTACAAAACAAAAATACATAACAAAAAACTTATGAGCATTCAAAATTACTAATTTATTATTCATTAATATTTTAATATTAGCTAGTGCACTCATAAATAATCACAACATACCGAAAATCAGATTAAACTTACAAAATTACCATGTAACGGACACTACGCCACGGAGCAATTAGGATGAATGATTTATAGACTCACTGATCTGTTAACCCGTTGACTCGTTGATCGATTGCATGACTTTTGGTTCGATCGAATGAATGCTCTATCGAACAAAATGTTCGATCCCAAACGAAGAGTGAGTAGGCGCAACGTGTCGTGAGTGGGAACTTCACGTGAGAGTGAACGAGACAACAATAATGTTGTGAATAGTTGAATAATCTCTAAATTATAACTATAAAGTCGAATATTTATCATTGTGGCTATTTAGTCGAATAGAAATATTTATTTATGTTTATGTGTTGGATTTTTTTTTGCTGATCTAAGAGGTTACACTTTACGAACCGTTTGGTACATATAACTCATTACTGCGTTCCGGTTTAGAAGGGTAAGGGTACTGGTGAAATTACAGGCACATGGGAGTTGTCAACTGATGTCCCTGAGTGACGGGCGCAATGGCAGTGCCCCACAGATCTTTGCAATTTAAAGCTCTGAGCGTCACTTGATATTATAATAAAATATATAAAACCCGTTCTACACAGATCTTTTAGAAGGCTGTTTAGGTATTTTATACACAAGTTTTATTAATTCACCATCGTGTGGTCAGGAACGCATCCGCACCAGAAACGACGTAGCATCTTCCGACTACCACGATACTGCCACGCATAGGTCTATTCTCAGACGGGTTTAAAACATTCGATCACGCGCTTGCGCCGACGCGCCGTGTGATTGCTGCGTGAACTGTAGGGTGTGCATGATGAAAGATTTTGAGAAACATTCCATCCTTATCATAACCTACTGAAGCCTCCTTTCACTCGCTCTGAGTATTACAAAAATTATTTTACTATTAAGGCTGCAAATTTGTGGAACGATCTCCCATTTGAAATCCGACATTCTAAGTCGCTACCTATTTTCAAAACCGGATTGCGTAAATATCTTTTATCACGGTCCTAGTCTGCAACGTATGTATTAGTAAGTATAAGTTTATTTAGGTATATTTATATATACATATATCTACGTAGGTATAATATATCATTATTTTTTAAATATTTTATAAATTACTATGTGTCTTTATTTAATTTTATTATTTTGTATTTTTTTTATTTTTTATTTATACAATTTTTTTTTATATTTGTAAAATTGGCACACTACGTCTCCCGCTCCGATTAGCATTCCTCTAACTCTAAGGTTGTCTGGAAGAGATCGCTCTTAGCGATAAGACCGCCTTTGCCCACATTAGTTTTAAGTTGTTTATGTACTATTCTTGTTCTTGTGTGTGAGAAATAAAGTGTTTATCTATTTATCTATCTAACTATCGTAATTCGACATATTCTGCCGTCCGCTGACTAATACGAGGCTATTGACATTTTGAGATGATTTTCTCATCCATCCCCACCATAACCCAGTTTTGGAATATTGAGATTGTTTAATGATATTTCATCTATGCATCGTTAGGGTATGTTCCGGTAAGTCGAACACGGTAACTAATTTTAACTGTGTTTAAATTTGTATTGAACTGATATTCAGTTATTGTTTTGTGAACTTACTCCACTAGTTTGTTATTATTATTAATAATAATAATAATAATAAATTTCTTTATTTCGGACTAAGTCCATAAGGGTTAGTAACAAAACACTTAAAAATAGGGTTAGTATTACAAATAGCTTATTTTACAATTAATTATTATAGGCCATAAAACCAATGTGCTTCCTAGACCAGTACACGGTTTGCAATTATACTCAGGAGGCTGTTATCGCCGCCCCGAATCCTGCGCAACAAAGAAGCCGCCCTTTTTCGCATGATAGCTGAAAAGCCATCTAAGATAGAGATTAATACAAAGATCGAAAAACTTAGAAAAAAATCCTTTTCAAGTTGGTTAGAAAGAACACTTTAGGCGCCAATATATCGAAAGTTACCGAAATGATAATTCGTTAATTATGACAACGAGGGCAGCACTCGCATTTTAATTTAATCTTACATTACTTACTAATCTTACTTAAGAAAGAAAGAAAGAAAGAAAGAAGTTTATTCACTGAATTGAAACACCACACACACTTATATCTAAAATTACAACTAAAAAGAAAACAACAAGTGACTTATTAATTTAAGTTAGTAAGTGTGCGTAGTGGCTCAAGCGAGGAAAAGGATACAACTCAGCCATATGTCTATCTCGGTCGAAACAGACGCTGATTTTCAGTCGTTCCTGTATCGGCGTCGACTGAGTCCCGAGGAAATGGTACATGTATATCCTTCCTTTTAAGCCACACTACACATTTACGACACACGTATATATTTAAATAAAAGTTATAAATATATGTAAATATCATTAATAAGTTGGGAACATCCGGCATCAGAGCATACGCTGCGCTGGTTTTCTATTAACACTTTTTTATGTTTTTTAAATGTTGATTTAGAGATCCTTTGTCTGAGTGGAGGAGGCAGATTGTTCCAGCATTTAGATGCCTGATACCGGAAACTACCCTCAAAGGCCCTTGATTTATGAAAACTTACTTAATCTTTTGATATCACGTAGATGTTTTTTGTTGTTGAAAGCCCACTTAGCCATTGCGATTCGTGAAAGTACGTGCCCAAGTATCTAAAGTTAGTTATTTCATTTTATATGACATTACTCCAATTAAATATGAAATAACTATTGTTTGGTTATCTATCTATGCAGAACCACTGGTCTATCCATTTCAGTAGAAAGACTTTGCAGTAGCAAAGTTACACTTCTTCATTTTTAAGTTTTTATTGTAAGCCACGATGGTTCACCATCAGGATATTCAACTATTTTTTGTGGAATTACTCCACTAGTTTGTTATAATTATTAACACAAAGATCACTAAGAAGAAATCCTTTCGATCCGGCTGGATTTGAACCAGCGTCTTCCAGCAAACTTAGACGAACCAACGGGCCTTACGAATTTTACATTCTAATTAATAAATTTTAAATTCGATTTACAGAGGTTTAACCGAACCAGTAGAAATTAATTAAATACGTAAACACATTTACGACATTTTGGTTACACTAAACACATTATCTGATATGGGAAGATTTCTTGTAAACATCATAAAACGACTCGCGAAACGTCCACGAGGGCACTTGACCTACTTTCCTGAAAGAAAGTTTTGTACTAAATAAATAAAAAACTAGGGCAGGCGCTTAATAATAAATTAATAAGTAACTTTAACATATTACAAATGAAACTGTATCGTTACAGTGCATTTATGAAAATGTTATTTATGTTAAAAAAAATATGAATTTCTTTATGAAAAATAGTGACAGATTTACGAGGAATAAAAATTTATTTATTTATTTATTTATTTATTTATTAGACACAATACATTTATCATTACAGGATACATTCCTTACGATAAAGTAGCACATTTTTTATTTATTTAATATACACAGAATAATAATAAATTACATCTACTTCTTTTTATAACATATAATATAAACAATTAACCTAGTGAATTCACTCAAAGAACATGAGAAAAGGTCAATCATTTCCGCTACTACATTTAGTGTATGCAGTGTCCTGGACATCGCCGATTTTTTAATAAGGTCAGTTCTAGCCGTCGGCACGGCCAGCAAACGGGGCCTACGACGTCTCCCAACGTAGCAACGTAAACTAGCTGCTCTTGACGGTCGTCTTCATAGACTCAAATTCATTTAATGGGCAATGCATACGCTTCTATAATAAGAACACCCTTAATAAGAAATTTAAAATAAATAGAAAGTTTTACCGTCCCCTGAATAGTCACTCTTTATAAGATACGAGTTTGAGAAAGTAAGGCATCGATATTCTACATTTGTTGCAATCAGTTGACTTAGAATAGAATAGAATACGTTTATTTGCCAGAATACAGTAATTACAAAGGTCTTAAGTAAAATTAGGTACATTGTATGCAAGCAGATGTGCAAACATTAATGGGATTCAATGTTTCTTTAGTCTCTATTTTATTTAGTTTCTAATGAATGTAATGAATTTGTAAATTCTAAGTATTCTTTATTACTAAAGAAGCAATGTGTCAAAAGCCATTTTGTCAATTTTAATTTTAAAGTACGTCCTTGTAACAATTTAATTTCGTTTGGTAATTTATTGTAAATAATTATACACATGTTGAAGCAGTTATTCTTATAAATTACTTTAAATGACTTATAGATTCGTATTAAAAAGAAGCTTAATAAGGTTTTTTTAACTGCATTTATTTCACTTAGACCGTTTCTTACAACAGCAATGAACCTAACAAAGGAGAAGATAAATTATTTGTATAACATTTTTCGGTGCATTAGTGCTAAAGAGAAAGATATGTAACACCTGTATACACGATGTATGATAAAAAGATTACCGAATATACCCACATGAAAATCTCCGCAATAAAAATTCCGCGACCTAAAAATATCCCGCAAACATAAAAACTGACAGTCACACTACATTATTATCAACGCCCGGCGCTTGCGCAGGGTATAAAAATCCCCACCGCGCTCAAATCGAGTTTAGTCACTTGTCTACCGTTGTAGTGTTCATACGTGTTATTTGTTGTTCCAGAATGTGCGCTGCGATCGATATGCTTGCGTCAGAGCAGTTGTTTTACGGACATAGCCCTCCGGCTGGATTTTTAACAGACTACACTCCGTCTATTCGGCGTCCAGTGAAAATTACCACACGAGGGTATTCGGCACCATGTTTAACGACCCTGAAGCCGGTGCAGTTCACATTGAAATCTGCGCCAAGGTCGTGTATAAGAATGCAGTCGGAGAAAAAGAAGAAGAAAGTGGTTTTCGCCGATGACAGGGGCTTCGCTTTGGAACAAGTGAAGTTTATGACTGAACCGTCTCACGTGCCACCTTATTGGTTGAAGGCTCCGAGCCCGCCAATAGAGAGAAAACCGCCTCCCAAACCAGTCGACTTGTGGGAGATTAAGTTTGTCCAACCGGCGTCCGATTACCTCGAATTCCGTCGCAGAATTACTCAGGACTGTGTGTCATTGGAAAACGTCATAGTGAAACAGTCGGAAGGATGCATAGATGGAACAGTTAAAGTAAAAAACCTGGATTTCTCCAAGGAAGTCTTCATCAGGAGTACATCTGACGGCTGGAGTACGCACGAAGACGCATACTGTGCGTTCCTAGAATCTGGACCAATTGGAAAGAACGGTACCTCGGATTATGACACCTTCTGCTTCCGGCTTCCATTGCCTATTCATTCTAGAAGACTGGATTTCTGTGTCGGCTTCCAATGTAAAGGTGTTGAATATTGGGATAACAATAAAGGTTTAAATTATACACTGGAAAAGTCGTCAGTTAAAAATACTACGCCAAATTCTTGTGCTAGGATCTTGTTCGGAAATTCATGGACAGCCAGGACTGATCTTAACGGGAACACTCCCTATTGGTGAAGAAAGACAGTTTTGAATTTGGAATTGAATGTCTTGACGCCGATTGGTCGGAAACCATCTGTGTTTTTTTAAAACCGTGCCATAGTGTGAAGTGCCAATTATTTTTGTGTTAATTTTATTTTGTTCAAAAAAAGAAAAGGAAATTTAGTGCTCGAAAGGAGACTGTATTCAAAGAGGTTGGTTATCTTTGATTTTGTAGTAATTTCTTTTGCCTCACTTCTAACATAAAAAAAAACATAAGACACGCTCGTACCCATCAGTATTTTTCACTATCTGATTGTTCGAACTTGTAACTAAAACTAAACGACAAAAATTTAAATTAGTTTAGTATTAAGAAATGTTGGCAACAGAAATACTCGTTTAGAGAACACATCACACTAGTGGCACTATAAAGACCCGTTTCCATTGCGCCAGAAATTAAGACTTGTATGGCTTTTTACTTCCACACATGTTCTTGCGTAATGCAAACACGTGTTGTCGAGAAGAGCAAATTGAAAATAAAATGTACAGTTAACCATACGTTAAAGCGTATTACAAAACCGTTCTAAATACACAGTAATAAGACGTACTAACATTACAACTGTACAGTCAGCCGCACTTTCAGCTTTACAAATGTTATTTCGCTGTTTAAATGATGTAATGTACGTTATTTAACAAATGATTGTGCCAGCTTGAATAACTCTAGTTAAAGCCTATTATTTAAATAGAGATAAGCCTTTGTCGATACTTTAACCTATGACAGCTCTAAGTCTTAAAATGATACCATTTACGTATTGTAGACTGTACATTTCTTTTCAAAAATTATGTGGTCAACACAAGGTAAGAAGCCTTAATTAAATTATTTTAAGATCAGATTGCAGTAACGTTATTACTCCATTGGCATTAAAATATTATTATTCAAATTAATATTTTTAGAAATAAAAATATTTTGATAATTAGTTGAACAAAGCTTCTAAATTTAAATTCGAAACCTGTTACGGGTACTTGAAATTATGCAAACATACTTAATATTGTCAAATTTGATAGATGTTTTGGCAATTTGTTATTATAATTTAGTTTGAGACCAGGTATTAAGGAGTCACCATACTTATTCACGCTGAACCGGCTTGAGCCGATCTGAAAAAGCTTCTAACATGTACTTAAAAAGATTTTTTTGACCAGCCTGTTTGATAAGTATGATGAATTCCTTATAAGTGGTCTACATTGTCTAGATACTCGGAAAACAACGAGATCGCATTTTGTTGAATTATTATATTATATTATATATCATAATATTATTTTTTCAAATTTCTCGTTATAAATTTTAATAAGACTGAAAATCCAATTTCCGGATTGTTAGATCTCCATTTTAATTAATTCTAACTATGCGAATCACTGTATGTACGTTCACAAGTACCCTAAACAAAACCCTAGATTTTTTCCAGTAAGGCCTATATTTTTAATCGGCGTGGACATCTAGAAGTTTAAACGAATTTAAAAGAAAATTATAATTGTGCAATTCAATAAAAATAATATTTTATAAAATATTTATAAAAGCTCAATTGATTGTTGTTATGAATTATTAAATAATAAATTGGACTATAAAATAATTTGAAATGCCATTGTAATAATGTTATTAATTCAATAAATTGTTCCATGAATAGAATTCTTTTTTGCCTAGTTATTTTTAAACCATGCATATAACTTCCAAATGAGGATTATATTTAGAGATATAAACTGAGTTGTTAGTTTTCGATGAAATAAAACAGCGTTGTCTTAAAGAATTTGACGGTTGAATCGATTGGTAGCTTATCAAGTAAAATAGAGATTTGACCGGTTTTCATGGTGTTGCCATCTCTGATGTCTTAGGTTCGATCCCCGGCCGGGGCAATGTAGACAACTGACTTTTCTATAATGTCTCGAGTCTGGGTGTTTGTGGTACTGTCGTTGTTTCCAATGTCCATAACACAAGTGTTTTTATTATATTTTGAACATTAAGAAATATTGTTAAATAGGGTAATTAGTTACACATCTTTAACATGACTGAACTGAACCAAACATTGCACAGTTAAGTTCCAATGTCGCCTCTAGTGCAACGGAACAAGATCCGTCAATGTCTAGCTTGATGTGCTGCCGTCTGTGCAATAAACATGGCGGCGTTATTTTTCAAAGTGACATTAGCAGCTGTCAGTTTATTTCTAATTAAAATCCGATAATATAATTTCAATATGAGTTTTCAAAAAGCGCTTGTGCGCTACGTCCGTTTTGTGTCAGTTAATCCGAGAAAATGACGATCCGAAATGTCACATGTGTCCGAAGTATCATTTTATCTCTAGTTGTACAAGCTACATTCGTATTTTCTAGGATTTGACTTAGTGCACAAGAGACATCCGAAGTGGGTCCGGTTTTCTAGATTTTTATAGACTCGGATTCGGAATACGAAACGGATGCAGTGCACAAACGCGCTTGCTCTGGCGCAGTAACGCTGTCACTGTTATTATGACAAACAAAATTGAAATTTTACTGCTTTTCGAGATTTTCAGACCGCCATTTTTGTTTTTTTTTTTACAAAGTTCCCAACCCGCATTTCGTTAGCGTGGTGGACTATCACTCTCTGTACTTAGAGGAGACTCGTGCGCAGTTACGGGACGTATCATGGGTTGATAATGGTGATGACGATCATGTTTCTATTTTAATTAATCTTAAGTTACCTATCCCACCAAAATTTCTTTAAAAAAAATTGTTTGAAATATCGATTTTGATTTTTGTATTCGTAAAATAATAAATAACAATGAAATCTTTGAAACGTTTGTGCCAACATTTTTGCTTAATGTAGTTTTAAAAAACGAAACTGTGCGAGACTTTTTATTATTTTATATTTATTAATTTTTATAAATGTTGATTAAAATGTTTTTGATTATTCTAAAAATAATCAATTTAAACAAAATTTGTAAATAATGTTTATTGTTTCAACGTAGCCATGAAGCCTCTGGCTCCTGGGCTGGGTATAACCTGTGTTCCATGAGTCAGTGTCCTTTCTAGACATAACTGACAATACTGGGTCCATTTTTTAAAAGGACAAAAGAATTAAACATACTACAATTTTGTTTTTTATGCAACATTGTTTAGTGTGTATGTCATTATTATAATTTTATGTGAAATAGATTGATGTTAGATTAAGGAGACAAATTTTAGAATTTCAACAGTGTAAAAAACCGACCTCAAAAGTCATTCATCCCCCAGTTTGCCACCCTTAGAGGAGGAATATTTTCTTCAAATTTAAATGGAACCACATTTGAGGTACCCTCTTCCCAACAAAAAAGAATCACCGAAATCGGTTCACAAAAGTTGTCGCAGTCGAATTGAGAACCTCCTTTTTTGAAGTCGGTTAAAATGACATCATCTTTCACGCAACAATTTTTACTAGGACAAAATGGCAACGGGAATTCTTCGATAGTTTAGTCGATACAAGAGACGTTTGTTAGTTGATGTATGACACATACTTAGAGCGAATGTAAGTTTTGAAAAGTATAAGAAGGCGTTGTTTTATGAAAGATGACATTATCATTTCTATCCTAGGTACTATGTTGTGATTAGGATAGAAACAGGAATGCTTTTATGGCTTTGTCGTTCATAATGGGTTGTGTTAGCGAAGAAGCACAAAGAGCGAATGTGAAAATCCTAGTTGTAATGTTCTGACTAAGATAGGAATGGCAATGTTTCGATGCTTTGGATTTATACAGGGTTATTTGTAATAATAATAATAATTCATTTATTACCTTCTTATCACATTTATTCTTATATCTATTTGTATTACTTTTGGAGACTAAAAAATTCATATGCAAATCGTGCGTCTGGGGCCCACGATTCAGGTTTGCTTGCTAGGACCGTGGTAAATAATGTTGGAAAGGTAAAACGTTTAACGTGCATTAGGATAAACCAGTACAGAGTACTGAAAAAATCGCCCTCAAAAGTCATTCATCCCGTAGTTTGCCACCCTTAGATTTGGAATATTTCCTTCAAATTTAAAAGGGACCGCTGCTGAGGAATCATCAAGTTTAAAAAATAAAGAAAAAACGTACAGTCGAATTGAGTCCTTCTTTTTCTGAAGTCGGTAAAAATATTACAGGAGCGATTTAAAGTAATTATTAAAAAAAATCTAAACTCTGATTTTATTTGTTATATGGAAAAGGTGAAACTTTCTAGTTTTCCATATAACTACTAAAATTAGAGTTATGATTTTTCTTTTTCTAAAAAAAAAAATTCTTTTTTCCAAATACACGTTAGACGTTTTACCTTTCCAATGTCGATATGAAACTGTAAAAATTATCTGTCAAATATTTTTTTTTAAATGTCTAAAAAGTGTTAGATAATATAACAAACATTTAAATTATTATTTTCGGTAAATTTATTATGTTTTTTGAAGAGTCATGTAACAAATATTTTGTTGTTTAAGATGTTAGTAATATAATATTGAGAGGTTGCTACCATTTTACAAATAACCCTATATAAAAGATAGGCTTAGTAAAATAACAACATAAGTTTATAGTGCGTGTATGAAACGACATGTTAGTTGAAAGAGAAAGTGTTATTACAGGAACATAGTGGAGCTACACGGTCTCCACCTACCCCAGTGGGAGACGGACGTAACCAGTGTATATTATATAGTTTTATATTGTTGTATAATTCCAATAATTAGAATTAATAAAATAAACGAAAAGGTAGAACGAAGTATGTATGTAATTTATGAAATGAATGATTAATAATAATTAATTTTATAAAAATATTGTTTTTTAAATTTGAATTATTCGAAAACTACATGATTATTTTTTATGTTATTATTTAATATTGTTTCAAAGTACACTTATTTTTCGAATTTTATTTTTAATTATAAATTTAAATCTACTTTGTTTATAATGCTCTCATTACTGGGCACTGGGCCAGTGTAGCTGCCATTGAAAACTTTGTGCCGGCTGTGAGATTTATCGTTTTGATACAGAGAGAAAGCTCTCTGTTTTTCAGATCTGTGAAATATCTTTAGATTCTTAAGTCCAGCTGAGAATTTATTGTAAGAAATGCTCAAGCGCTCTTTGTACATTTTGTATTATATTAGAAATGATAAATGAAATGCAAAGTCCTGAGAAAACATGAAACGGGAGTCTTGCATAACTGGGTTATTTTAGTTTATAAAAAAAGAACTGATTAATTAATCGAAAAATTGTTAAGTTGAATAATAATATTATAGTTTTATATTGTAATTATAATTTTAGATAGATTTGTTAATTTTAATAAAAATAATATTTTTCGTTCTGTATTAAAATGACAGACGCGTTAAAATGTATTGTTTTTAGATGTAATAAATGATTTCTATTAAATTATTTTTTATTTAAACACATATTTGCCTTGTAGCATAACTAACGTTATATCATGTGTAATGTGTAACGTACAAATTCGGGGTTCTTCGTCGTCGAAAGAATTACTGTTAAACAAGTAAATTACTCGATGCCTTGGATAAATTACAGCGTCGTGCTACTCGAATTATAGGCGACGAAGGGGTCTCATCACGCCTTGAACATATGCAACTGCGTAGAGATGTTGCATCGCTTAGCGCCTTTTACCGCATGTCCCATGGTGAGTGCTCTGAAGAGCTGTTCAACCTCATCCCCCCTTCCCCGTTCCTGCTCAGAAGCACGCGTGCGGGCCTTCGTAGTCACCGTTTCACTACCTGCCGCATTCCATCGCGTACTAAAAGGTGCGGTGGCTCCTTTCTCTGCCGCACGGTTGACAAATGGAACTCCCTTCCGGCACATGTCTTCCCTCCCTCTTATGATATGGGGTCCTTCAAACGAGGCGTGAAGAGGCATATTGTAGGCAGGCAGGGCGGAGGTGGCTAGTGCAGTGAGGGTTTCATCGCTGCACTAGGTTCCTTCGCGTTTGGATACCACTTTCCACTTAACATCAGGTGGAGTGGAGTTATTTGCCTGTCATGTATAAAAAAAAAACTCAGAACAATAAATACAGTAGAATGTGATTAGTTAGTGACTGACGCGTGCCAACATTAGGTCTTGAAAGACCTGTTTGAGGTCAGTCCGCCATTTTTGCTTTGTATGGTATAGTTGTGTCGTTCTTTCGTGCAAATTCTCTAAAATTCTACAAAAATGCCTTATTGTGCTGTTTTGGAGTGCAAAAATGATAGTTGCACCAAAAATCCTTACATTAATTGGACGTAGTTAAACAAAAAGGATCCATAGGAATGAAACTATTTTTCCGGATTTAAATCGCGTATATTTGTTTTTTCAAACAAACCGACGTTTCGGGCCCTTTACAGGTCCCATGGTCACGGTTGACTGAGGTGGTACAGTCTTCAACCAGTTATGTCTAATATTGATGCAAACCACCCTATTTTTTCAATATAGTTACAATAGTTATTAATTAAATACCTTATTTTTAATTTTACAAAGAAAACATTCCAATTTACGCTACATTAAGTTTTACAAATTATTTTATTGAATGAATTTTTTATTAACTTTAATTTATTATTAATTATTAATAGAAATTAGAATAAATTAAAACATATTAATTAGTACTGCAGTCTTATGTCTGTTTGGGATTTTTCATTAGAGGAAATACTGGATCCCAAACTGGTGGTACGGAGAAACCATCTTCCCTGTTGAAATTAGGATGTTTTTTAATTTCAATGGCCTCTCGCAGCATCCTGGGCAGATAACGGACTTCTTTTGCAAGGACCTGGGGTTTGTCAAACTTCATTGAATGTGTAGGTTTATCCATGACATGCTCGCAGACTGCAGACTTGTTTTTTGAAAAAGGATCCAATCCACAAAACTATCAAAAAATGAGTTATATGTGTATAATATACCTAAACAGCCTTCTAAAAGATGAAAGAAAGAAAGAAAGAAAAATTGTTTATTAGCGTCATAATTATGCCATATTACAATTTACAAATTTTACATTCTTAAGCCTAGATATAAGTATAACGCTAAACCGACGTCTACTCAGCATTAGTCGAGGCATTTTGCAACACCCCAACGCTGGTCTTCCGGAGACACCGGCCAGTTAGGAAGTACCACTACGCACTGCAACGACACGCCGAACCATATAATATATGGTGACAAGTACGAACTCAATATAATGTAATAAAATACTTAACAGTTAAATGGCAAAAATATTAAATTAAATGTTCATTGGTATTAACCCACTAAGTAAATGCCAATATAGCATCTATACAACACAGCACAGGCTAAGTTAATTTCTGTTGATTCAAAAGATACTGTTTATATCTAAATTTAAAAGATTTTACAGTGTGATCTGTATGGAATGGTTTTATTTTTTTTTATAATATCAAGTGACGGAACCAACAAGTCGTGCGCCTGTCCATAACAGTTGCAGTGCCACTCAGAGCCATAAATTGCAAAGATATGAGGGGCACTGCCACTGCGCCGGTCACCCTGAGACATAAGTTGACAAGTCTCATGTGCCTATAATTTCACCAGCACCCTTACCCTTCTAAACCGGAACGCAGTAATGCTAACACTACTGCTTGGTGGCAGATATAGGTAAGGTAGTTGTACTTCCCTGGACGACCTCCTTCACAAGGCGCTCTACTGCTGCTATATAACACACATGAAATCAAATACTGTCGTAACTCAAAATTGGACGTAGTTTAGGCAAAAAGGATCCAATCCACAAAATTATCAAAAAATGAGTTATACGTACGTAGGAAATGAAACTATTTTTCCGGATTTAAATCGCGTATATTTGTTTTTTCAAACAAACCGACGTTTTGGGCCTAACTTAGTTAATTAATAACTATTGTAACTATAGTGAAAAAATAGGGTGGTTTGCATCAATATTAGACATAACTGGTTGAAGACTGTACCACCTCAGTCAACCGTGACCATGGAACCTGTAAAGGGCCCGAAACGTCGTTTTGTTAGAAAAAACAAATATACGCGATTTAAATCCGGAAAAATAGTTTCATTTCCTGTGTGTAACAATCGCGAAAACTTAAGAACTCGATTTATACGTACGCACCAAACGGTTCGTAGTCTGATTTAGATCAGAAAAAATACAACATATAAACATAAATAAAGATCTCTGGAATTACATGACATTATAAGTTTTGAAAAATTAAAACAAGAGTAAGAAACACTTAAACTTCAAACTGCCATATCTCAAAAGTGAGTGGATGTGTATTGGATCCTTTTTATTTAACTATGTTAAATTTTCTGTATATCGAATTGATTCAGATGGTAATCGTTTGTCGTGGTTCAGCTACTGCCCGCAAGATGGCAGCACGTTGAATAAAATTTCAATATAAAATCATAACGTCGTAATTTGCAATAAACATTGACTTACAAATAAATGGACGATGGGTCTAATACAAAAACCACGAAAAAAATGTCCCAAGTCAACCTATTTAAACGTAGTGACATGTAAAGGAATATGAAAAAGCTAAAACGTTGAATTTAAATTGTAATGTCATTGCAGTACTGTCTAATTTTGCTTGCTTCGCTGTCAGTCGAACAAACGAAGACTAAAGCGTGTATGACGCTCTGTATACGATTTTAACGCCCTATAAGTTCGGACACTTTTCAGCGCGGACCCGACGTCCATATAATTGTAAGTCAATGGCAATAAAGGTAACTTTCAACGATATATCGACCAGGTAAACTGCCGTCCGTTAACTAAAATGCGGCCAAGTGACAAAATATTTTTTTGAGATATAAAAAACCATGACCCAGTTCTAGAATATTGAAATTGTTTAATGATATTTGAGCTCGATAAGTCGACTACGTTAACTAATTTCAACTATTTTTGAAAGAGAATTTTGTGAATCTTTTGCTATTTAAAACGAATATTTGACCACTTGCCGCTTCGTCGCGTTGTAGTTAGTCGTCATCATCATCTTATAGTGCCTCTCCACTAATGGAGGCTGGCGGTCAGCTTGGAGAACTCCTCCCTGTCCTGAGCCAAACGAAACAGATGTTCTACGCTGGCAATCGTCCATTCCCGGATGTTGCGCAACCACGAC